GCAGTGATAGCCCTGCGGAACTTACGTTCACCGAGATGGACGACGGTTGGTGTGGGGAGCGCTGCGAAGGTGTTTTCGGTAAACTCCGCGTAACCTTTCCAATCAGCTTTAGAAAAGTTGATATAGGTCCGGTGTTTGGCGGAGGCAAAGTCGGTTGGTTTATCAATCGAGATGACTATGGGTAGATGGTCTGATGCTAGAGTCAGCATAGGTCGCCACGTTATGCTGTTTATCAGACCAGCGCTGAATTTACGTACATACTTTTTAATTCGCATACACTCCACCTGCCTGTGCTTATTGAGCCTGGGTTTGTTATTGTAATTTTACGCTGGATACAATTTTTTTCGTATCTGCTAATCAGTTTCAGATAAAAAATTTTTTTCCCTTTAAGTTTATTACTATTATTCATACTTGGCGTTCTATCTTCATTAACACGTATGTACGGCGCTGCCGACAGGGGACGTATACGTCAACTTTGGCGCTGGCATCTGTTGTTTAGGTCTACTACACGCATTTGGTAATCAGTTATTAAACGTTTTCACATAATCATGCTAAGTGGTTCAATTATTGAGGTGTGTAGTATGCGTAGAACATGAACCTGATTTGGTTTTAACTTTATTATAACTGATAAGAATGCTGGAAAAATACCTTTAGCGTTTCTTAATCTACATAGGTATAAGCGCCATAGTGCGTAGCGCCACCCAATACGTATATTTTTTTTTATTGTCGTTATGATTTGCTGGAAACCGCACAACATCGGGAAGAGCATAAATATCTGAGGAGGACGGAATGTGGGCCTAGAATGGCAAAGAATCACTACAGTTTTTACTGTTGGGATCTTTCTGGTTACGGCAGAAGCGTTCGAGAATGTCTCGATGCAAGCTTTAACATATTGTACCACCTAGTGGGTCTTATTGTGCCCTCCATTCTTCACAGCACATCTTGTAATGCTATTGTCTCTGCAAAAAGGGTAACTGGATAAGCAACAAGTTACGCTGCAGAAAGAAATAGTAGTTATGTAAATGGCTTATGCGGTTGGCTTTGGGTAGGCACCCTCATAATTCCCAATTTTTGTAAATCAGGGAGTGTAGTCTCGCCACTGATACCAGCCAACAAAGGGAGCCTTATCGCCCGATAACTCTCCTTTCCCCAGTTGTGAAGACACTTGAGGCCATGCTGCTCCCGTACTTCAAGTGTCACCTGACCCCTGCGAAGTCATAAACACCCAGGTAGATCGCGGCTTTAACCCTAGAAACACATTTTTCGTCGAATCTATGACGTTTATTTACATTAGGCGATTTTTGACTGGCGATAATCGCATGCAAAAGTTGACTTGCTCTCTACTTTGAGGCAAGCGATATTTGAATCACTAAGGCCATAAAATAACAAAAACAAATTTCTTGCTGAGGAGATATACATATGTGTGTACATTTAAAAAATTTTAATTGAATTAAATTTGTATATATTAAATGAGTTTAATAGCCGTATTTATTCAATTGCTATATTTATATTTACTCGCTGTTAATTCATTGCTTCATTGAGAATTCCAAACTTTATTTGGTGCTGAAAATGTTTGCCGATTCAATGAAATGTCATTTTCTGTTATTTTGATCANGGCGATTTTTGACTGGCGATAATCGCATGCAAAAGTTGACTTGCTCTCTATTTTGAGGCAAGAGATATTTAGCCCAGTGCGTAGGCAACTGGCTGAGTCAGCGGGATCGTCGGTTCGCATCCTACTAAAAGAAGTTTGATGAGGAAATGTGGTGATTTCCGAAATAGCTATCACTTCTACCATTTGTTCAAGTTATTGTTGCTTTTCCACAATAAGTTTTTCATTAAAAACGGCCTCAAGCTCAATAAAAATTGTTGAATATAATTATAAGGCCATAAAATAACAAAAACAAAATTAAAAAAAAATAATAACTAGAAGTAAGCAAATGAGCATTGTCCTATTTAAGTGAATGGGAGTGTATTTACAGTATCAGTCAATACAATAGCGTCCCCATTTCAAAGTGATATATGTAGTTTGCCACGCATGTTCATTTATTTATAATCTCGATATTTATGTATATGTGATCTCAAGTGTAAAACTTTTTGGAAAATTGCAATAAATTTTCACCCAAATTTCGAACTTTTTAGACTTTTTTTAACCGACTTCCAAAAAGGAGGAAGTTATCAGTTCGTCGGAATATTTTATTATTTTTTTTAATTTTTTATTATTTTTATTATTTTTTAATTATCAACCGACTTCCAAAGAAAGAGGAGGTTATCAATTCGTCGGAATAATTTTTTATTTTTTTTTTTTATGTTATGTTACCGCATAACTTTGGACCACGTCAACCGATAATTCTTTTTGCATCGGAAACGTAGTGTCTCAGAGGTGGTCCCATACTAATCTGGTTTAGATCCGATCATTGGATCATATATATATATATATATATATATATATATATATATATATGTATATGTATATATTTTTATATGAGAATTGAAGTCGGTTTTGTGTTTGCATGAAAATTACTTGTTGAGTACACACTTTTATTTGTAGTCCATTTAATTTAAGTCTAATATTGTGCAAGTTTCTAGTCGCTAAAAATTACCGTTGATTTTTTTTTTTTAATTTTTTCGCCGAAGGTGTTGCGGGTTTCTTCCAAAAAAATCTAAAAAATCAATGGTAATTTTAAGTGACTTGAAACTTGCACTTTGTTTTACTTAAATTGAATGTGCTACAAAACTGCATACTCAAAAATTTTCTAGAAAAAAGTTGAAAATTTGGATGAATTTTTTGCATTTTTGTAAACTTTAATAAAGCGTGAAACTCTGATTTATGTTATAGAAGGAACTATATTTTCATAAATAATTAATGCAAAAAATGGTTCATGAAAATGTAATGTGTAACGATTTTCCGTCATCCCTTGTCAAATTTGGTTTGGAGACAAACCGGTTTCGGTGTTGTGCCATCTTCACTGTTATTTTTCGTTCTGAATAGTTTCTGTATATCTGTCACTATTCATAGCCGTGTTAAATCGTCGTTGGTTCATAGTTAGGTACGTCTCAGCGGATTATATTCTTTCGTTCAACCAGTAGTTTCAGTTCTGTGTGTACATCCTCAGGTATAAATTAGCTGCTCACCTCTTTTTTGATTAATTGTTGCATGGATTCGCAGGTAGGTAAAAATCAGTTATTTTCTTTCTCTTTGTTTCTGTAGTTTGGACCTGTATTTCATTGTTTATGGTAGTTGCAGGGTTTCTGTCTTGTTTTGCGTATAGTAGCCTGAGTGGTTCGAATAATATATCAGATGCGGTGTTTATTTGCTCATTTATTATTTTTCCGACGAACGTCTTTTGTTTTGTATATCTCCATATTCTCTAATACGTTTAGGCGTTGTCCTTTGTGTTGTACATGGAGAACTTTGGCTGTCTTTCCTATTTTCATTGGCGTACAATGGTTTTCTGCCATATGGTTTGCGAAGTTCGATTCCGGGGTGGTAGAATGTTTTAGCATTTTTTTTGTTGTAGTCCCTTATATGCTCACGATATCTTGTTTTTATCTTGCGCCCTGTTTGTCCTATGTAACTATGTTGACATTCGCAAGTCAACTTATATACACCTTGCTTGTCTAGTGGGTCTTCCCACCCAAGCCTTTTCATTATTTTCCTTCTTATTTGATTTCTTCGTTTTTGTTTCTCTTCTTATCTTGTTTACTAGGCTCTTTCTGTATCCGTTATTTTCCGCGATTGCTTATATCGTATTAAGTTCTTTGCTGTAAGCTTCTTTTTCCAATGGGGTTCGTTTAAGCCTGGTTATCCGAAATCGCATTTGTTGGTAACCTTATTTATTTTAATTGTTATGTCCAAATAGTTTACTTTGCCTTCGTTTTCCTTATCCATAGTGAAATTTATATTCGTGTGTTGGTCATTGAGATAGCCTAGAATTTGTTCTTCCTTGTGTCCTAGCCCGTTAGTTTATCTATATATTTTGTTATTAAACTTGAAGTAGTTTTGGTCTAGTGTTACCATCAATGTGTTCACGATTTCCGTAGCTACGTTCTTGTCTGTTTTTTCTATCAAAGTTTTAGTCAAGATGGTAATTGTTTCTGCCGTTTCGCATCTTTGGGTATTTCTAGCGATTTCATCCATTCAATTAACTCCGCTGTATTCGTGTGTCAGCAACGATTTTAGATATTTCGATAGTTTGTTCATGAAAATAATTGAGAATATTATATTAAATAGAACAAGGTGTGCACTTTAATTTGTCGCCCAGTGTATGTATGCAGTTAATTTGTATGCTTCTTGCTGAGGAGATATACATATGTGTGTACATTTAAAAAATTTTTTTTGAATTAAATTTGTATGTATTAAATGAGTTTAATAGCCGTATTTATTCAATTGCTTATATTTATATTTACTCGCTGTTAATTCATTGCTTCATTGAGAGTTCCAAACTTTATTTGGTGCTGCAAATGTTTGCCGATTCAATGAAATGTCATTTTCTGTTATTTTGATCGGCTATAAATTTAATGGAAATCACCTAAGCTCATACATCTGTTAGCATCATTAATATATGTGACTGAAACAAATGACCACGTGTTGGTTTTTTTTTTTAATATTCGTAATGGTTTTTGAGCTAAATTTTCTTTGTAATTTTTCTATAAACTTACCGTCCAAGCTTTAACCAAAACCAAATAAATCACAGTTTCAAACTTTATACAAAATTTGGGAAAATTCAACAAATTTTCATCAAAATTTAAACTTTTTAATATAAATCTCTAGAACATTTTTGGGTATGCACTTTTATAGTCTAATGAAGTGCAAGTTTCAAACGGCTAAAAAATCGCCCATCCAATTTTAGTATCATAAAGTGCCAGTTTCAAGTGGGCTTTTCAGCTAATCCCATTGGGGGTCCTTTACTTAAATTGAGCAGCAATTGTGAATAAGCTGTAATGTGTCGTACTGATAGAATCCTGTTTTAACGTAAATCTCTTTTCTGATCTTACAGATACCTCCACTACAGTCGACTGCACGATCAGTTCGGAGAGTAAAGGACAAGAGTGTTTGGACAATGTCTGCCAGCGATTGAATCTACAAGAACCCGAGTTTTTTGGCCTACGCTATGTGGTCAAGGGTAAAGAAGACGAATTGAAATGGATTGATTTGGAACGGTCGCTTAGCAGGCAGCTGGAAAAATATGCGGCGAGTACGAAAATTTATCTACGCGTGCGTCACTATGTTGATCCATCGCGGCGAGACGATTTGACGCGCTACTACTATTTTCTGCAATTGAAGAGTGACATCTATGACGGAAAAATCATCTGCGATATACGCACCGCCATATTATTAGCGCTCTATTGTCGACAGGCCGAGTATGATAGTCATCAGAATGACAAACAGACAAAGGATTATCTGAAAAAGTCACTTGTATTGCCGAAAAATTTACAAGGTATGTAGAACATGACTGCAAGAAAGTAAATACAAAGTCAATATTAGTAGTATTGGGTTATGCTCTGCTACGTTACGTTATGTAATGTTATGTTATGTTATGTTATGCTATACTATGTTATGCTTTGCTGTGTTATGCTACGTTATTTTATGCTGCGTTATGATATGCTAGATTGTGTTATTTTATGCTATGCTAGGTTATTTTATGTTATGTTATGTCATGTTATGTTACGTTATGTCATATTGTCTAACGCTATATTAGATTATGTTAACTTCATTTCTTTCTTCTTTATCCGATATAAAGTTTCGCTCCCCTTCCAGGTCTAGCCAACGATGATAACCTCCTTGACAGCCTCATTATGGAAGTGCTGCAACAGAACGCAGGCATCCAGCATCTTCAGCAGTCTCAGGCCGAGGAGATGTACATACAGTGCTGTCAACAGTTGGATGGCTATGGCGAGGAGCGCTTTCAAGCAAAAGACACACTGGGTAATGATTTGCTGCTTGGGTTGGCTATCAATGGCATGGTTGTGATGGCTGACAATGGCCGTCAGTATTTCCCGTGGAAGGAGTCTCAAACGGTTTCTATCGACAAACGTACCATAAAAATTGAGCAAAATAAGGCCGATGGCTCCATTGTGGGCTCATTTATTTTTCCCGATGCCGATACTGCACGATACTTCTGGAAGTTATGCATAACGCAGCATAAATTCTTTAAACGCTACATCGATGAGGAGTCTGTTTCGTCTATGGGTGATGCAGAGAGTGCAAATGGCAATTCGCTGAGCGTGGGCGGCGGCGGTGGTGGTGGTGGTGTTGGCGTTGGCGTGTCTGGTATTAGTAGTGGTGTATTAGCTGGCACAATGGATGCTTATGCCTATGGTGACTTCAATGATTCACGCGAAGATTTGCTACTCGAGCAACAACAACGTGCCATTTACAATCCAAATGCGTTAACGAGTGGCGGTGGTGGTGGTGGTGGCGCGCTTACAGCTGTTAATCCGGAATTCATGTCAGCGCCAGCTCTACATCATGGCTTACTCGCCTCCACGCATGGTTCTAATGCGTTAATGTCATCCAATATTTCATTAGCTGCCAGCCATCAGTCTGGTGGTGGTGGCGGTGGTGGAGGAGGAGGAGGTGTTGGCGGTGTCGGCGGTGCCGGGCCGAATGGCGCCATGCATTCGCATAGCGTGGGCGCTATAGCGCCTAGTTGGTTAACGAAAGTGAGTCAGATATTTTTGTAACATGCTGTAGACTAAAATTAGTATTTACACGTTCGTTTTTCCTTTAGGAATATGGCCCCGATTATGCCTCGACGCAGCACTTGTCGAATAGCATGTTGGACACACGCCTGCAGCAAAGCAGCTCCTGCCTGGATTTAAGCAATAATAACGGTACTAATGTCAGCGCTGGCAGCACTTTTCACAGCAGCAGCAACAACATTGTGCACGGTCATCTGGGTGGCAGTGTAACGAATAACAGCAGCAACGTCGCATTGCACAGTGCTGACGCACATGAGCGCGAACGATTGAAAGCCATGTTGCCCACTTATCGACCTGCACCCGATTACGAGACTGCCGTGCAATTGAAATATCGTTCTCCCTCCAGCGAATTGCATCATTCACAAATGAACAATTATGCTAACTATCAACCGCAACTGGCATCAAGTGCCTCTGCTGTAGCTATGAGCGCGACGCCTGCAGCCAGCGGTGCCATTTACTACGCGGGCTCACAGCCTGATGTACACAATGCGTCAGCAATGTATGGCGATGGCGTGTTGCTCAGTCAATTAGCATCGCATCGTTACCCTGATGTCGCGCAGCCAGCAGCTGCAATGCATGCACAACATCATCACCTAACCGCAGCGGGTGTGACAATGTCACCTGGTGGCCATAGCAACAGCACCAGCGGCGGAGGCGCATATATTGATTTAGGACATCGCCTGCAATTGGTGCGTAGTAAACCGCCACCGCCTTATCCGGTCAACCGCTTGAATTCTTCATCAACACCTGACTTGGCGGTGGCTTCACATCGGCCGCTGATGGGCTACCGCGCTTATGTGTCTGGCTCCTCGCCGGATTTGGTTTCGAATCGAAATTTGATTAATTCACATTATCCATACGGCAGTACTGTCGGCAGCAGCGTCGGCGTGGCACAAACATCAGGTGGTGCAGCGGCTACAAATCATGCGTTGATTCATACTCATTCCTCCTACATGGGTGGCGGACACATGGGCCATTCGCAGTCTTATTTGCCGCATGGTACTTTCGAGAACTTGAATATGATCGAGGAACAGCCATCTATACTGTCGCAGTTGCGGCAGGATTATTTATTTTTGCCACATAGTACACAAAGCTACAACGAACACACTTCACCAACTCTCAACAGCAGCGCCAACAACAACGTTTACCGTCCAACACCAACACAAGTGCAAACTCAGCAGCAGCAGCCACCACTGCCACAGGCGGCGCAATCACAAACTCGTCCACAGCAGCACTTGCAAACGAACACTTCTGCTTCATTATCGCATCGCAACACTTTAAACGGCTCAGCCGAACCTATTTACGAGAATGTGCCACATGCGCGCTACGTGGCTGCAGAGCCAACGGTTCAACGCAATTTGGAGCAGCGCTCCTCAGGGTCTTCGGCGACCAGTGAAGCGATGCGTAACCGTACGGCTTCAATACAATCAGCCCCAGGTGGCATGCACGGCCAGCCACAGCAGCAAATGCCGCCGGTACCTGCTGTGCGCCATCATCATCACCAACTTCAGCAGCAACAACAACAACAACAACAACAACAACAACAACAACAACAACAACAACAACAACAACAACAGCAGCAAAAACAACAACAAGCGCTTCAACAACAACAGCAAGTACTTTTGCAACATCAGCAGCAGCAGCAGGCTGAGGCTGAAGCGGTGGCTAATGCTGCGCTCAATATGCATAAGTATGCTGAGCGTGCTGCCAGCACAGAACTGCAGTTCTTAGAACCCACACCGCCGCAACGCGCAGTACGTGCTGCCTCTGCAGCACCCGCAGTTGGCCATAATAGCAGCAATAGCCAGCAGGCCATGATGCAAACGCCGCCACCAAGGCAGAACCACCACGCCCACAAAGCACAGATTATGCAGAGTGCATCATCGGCTTCCTCCGTGGACATAGCTGCAGCTTCAGGCGCCAGCAATAGTGTCATACGCGCTCGCACAACACCGCCCACGCATGACGACTCAACAGACTCAATTTTGTTATCAGCGCAGCGCCAGTTCAGTGCCATGAATATATCATCAATTTCATCCAATGTCTCAGCATCGGGGGCATCTACCATGCAGCATTCTTCTTCGAAGCATCATCATCGCTCACACAATTCATCTTCGTTGTTGGACACAACCGCCAACTCCAGCAACACCACAAATAGCTCCAATACAACAAATTCTTCCAACACTACCGGAAAGGAGGGTAAACGTAAGAAAATATGGAATATTTTGGGGCGTAGCAAAACGCCGGATAAACAGAAATCTGCAACGCTCGGGCGCGAGAAAGCATCCTCGTCGAATGCCGCAAAGACGGCAGCTAAAATTAAGCTCGCGCAAGACGATTTGAATTTGATGCATCGTTGGTCGACGGGCGTTCCGCGACTGCAGCCGATTTCCGGCCAGTATTCAAAGGAAAAATTGGTGAGTAGGATGTGTAAAACACGTTTAAGAGAAGAAGAAATTTGAATTAATATCAATTTATTCACTAAACGAAAAATGTTTATATTTTTCCCTTATAGTGTCCCATACTCACTGAGAAACTGAACGATCCGCAGCTCTTCATCGAATTTGAAAGCATACCGAAGCGTCGTGAGTTGGCGCGCTACGACTGCGCGCTAATGGACGAAAATGCAATGAAGAATTCCGATCCCAACTTTTTGCCTTATGATGATAATCGTGTGTGTATCACGCCGACAATGGAAAATCGAACGGGCTACGTTAATGCGTCGCGCATATCGGTAAGGTGAAATGAAATTATTTGAAAGAAAAATTTTGAAACAGATTAGGGTTTTTTCTGGATCTCTAGATAAACTAACAACTAATGTTAGTATTATAAGACTTTATGAAAAGTGTGTAGTGATGTAAAGTTTTTGCAAAACCCTCTTTGCGGGTCCATGCGAATGTATAAATATTATAAATCAAAATGTGGTCAGTGGTGGACCTACCAGGTTTGAAGTCGTACCGATAATCACCTTATACGCAATGTTAAGAAGGCTTAATTGGCTCAAACAGCAGGATCACCCTTCTTGTGGATTGGGCTGAATATAGTACTAAGATTCCAATCTTTGGGCATATATTCAAAAGCCCGAATCGCTCTTAACAGCTGATACAACCGCCTAGTGACCATCTGTAACACCGACCATAACACGACACGCCCCAGGCCGCTAAACCTAGATATCTAAACGCGCGGATGTAAAATTGGTACTTTTGTTTGTTGAAGCGTTGCCATCCTGCGAGTTTCAGGGAACAGCAAACAGTATGGTCAATCATTTAATGGCTGTTATAAGCACCGAATTGATGCAAATATCCGCTGCAAACCCAAACGGATCAGCCTCTTCTACCAGCGATCGAGAGGTAGTGCGACATTCCCACGACAGCCGGTTCTACGTACCGGAATGACTCGGGTTTTACCCGACCAAGGGCTGTTGTTTCGGCGATCTAACCCCGTTTAGGTCGGCGAAGTGTCTCAGAAGTTGTCCGTCCATAGGGCAACATTCACTACGCATTCTCCTACTCAGGGCTGGCATCGAGTCAAACCCTGGGCCAGAAATATACACCTGCTGTGTATGCCGAAGACGTTTACACCACAACTCCACCTCAGTCAAGTGTAATGCCTGCGAGGGGTGGAGTCACCTCAGGGTCTGCTCGGGACTACGGACACACAGACAGTGGACCACGTCGTACGTGGCCCCCTGTTGCTCAAATAGAGCAGCCTCCACGGCAACCCACAGTCCGCCCGTGCAGCCCCACACACTCACACAGCAACCACACACAGTCGCCACAACACAACAACATACCACAGCCACCACAGACCACATAACACACACAACCGCACCACCACCCACACGCCGCCGCCAACAACTCCTGGTTCCCCCTACAATCTGCACGGTATGTCAGACCAGAATATTCCGTAATGTGACTTCAGTCAAGTGCAACACCTGCCTTGGCTGGTGCCACTTTAGGGAGGCAATCACCTCAGCAGCACACACAGCCAACGGCGGCAAGAACATACACCTCACTCACACCCCACATCACAACACGTCTCCCGAACCACATGAAGCTCCTCCAATTCAACTGTAACGGGCTACAGAGCAAGATTGAGGAGATAACCGCCTTTATGTGTCGGCATGGTATATTAATAGCTGCGGTCCAAGAGACGAAGTTGCACAGCAATTCAACTTTGTTGAATTGTGCCGGGTACAACGTGCACCGTCGAGATCGCGAGCGAGATAATGGTGGTGGCTTAGCGTTCATCACGCACCACACCGTGCAGTATCGTCTTATCGAAGCAGACATCGACCGCAGGGATACCACCCTAGAATGTCAGGGCATCGCTATCCGGTCAGGCGATGTCGAGCTCGAAATATTTAATATATACATACCCCCTGTCACCTGCTGCCCGGCAGGATATCACCCTGATATAGGTGCGCTCCTCAGAGGTGAAAACCGTATGGTAGTAGGTGACTTTAATGCGCACCACGATCTTTGGCACTCAAGCCTGTCAAACGATCGTAGGGGAACAGACTTGGCTGAGCAGATAGACGATTCGACATTCTGCACAATGAACGACGACGCACCCACCAGGATTATGGGTAACTGCAGTAGCTCGCCAGACATCACAATAGTCAGCGCTGGTCTGATAAACAGCATAACGTGGCGACCTATGCTGACTCTAGCATCAGACCATCTACCCATAGTCATCTCGATTGATAAACCAACCGACTTTGCCTCCGCCAAACACCGGACCTATGTCAACTTTTCTAAAGCTGACTGGAAAGGTTACGCGGAGTTTACTGAAAACACCTTCACATCGCTCCCCACACCAACCGACGTCCATCTCGGTGAACGTAAGTTCCGCAGGGCTATCACTGCTGCTGCAGCTCGCTTCATACCGGCAGGGTGCATATCGGACCCACGTCCAAACTTCCCTGCCGAAGCGGCTGTTTTAGCAAATGAGCGTGATAGCCTTCGTCAGGCCGATCCCGGAGATCCCCGTATCAGGGATCTCAACGCGGAGATTCGGCAACTTGTAAACGTACATAAGCGGAAGAAGTGGGAGGAGCATCTGAAGACTTGCAACTTCACCTCTGGTGTGAGCAAGCTTTGGTCAACCGTGAGGTCATTGTCTAATCCGACGAAGCACGACGACAGAGTCGAAATTTCCTTCGGCGACCATGCTTCGTCGGACCCGGAGCGATGCGCGAGCTATTTTAGCCGGCAGTTCATACTGCATCCTCCGGTGGACAAAGCCAAGCGTCGAGTGACCAGAAGGCTGCACAAACTGCCAACAACTTGTGCCCCCCTTGCTTTCACTTGCGGTGAAGTTCAGGTGGCCATCGGGAAGGCGAAAGCCTCCAAAGCCATGGGTCCCGACGGAATATGCATGCTGATGCTGAAAAATTTGGGTCCTGCGGGGGTAGCGTACCTAACGGAGGTCCTCAATTTGTCAATGGCCACTCTCATCATCCCAGACATCTGGAAGGTGGGGAGAGTGGTCCCACTGCTCAAACCGGGGAAACCTGCAAACAAAGGAGATTCGTATCGTCCGATTACACTCCTTTCCCCGGTAGCGAAGACACTCGAGGCCTTGCTACTCCCGTACTTCACAAATCACTTGACCCCAGCGAAGCATCAGCATGGTTTCCGTAAAGTGCACAGCACAACAACAGCACTTAACGCCATAAACACTCAGATAACTCGTGGCCTTAACCGTAACTGTCCCTGTGAGAGAACGATTCTAGTAGCGTTGGACTTGTCAAAGGCGTTTGACACCGTCTGCCATTCCACGCTACTGGAAGATATAGAGGCCTCCTCTCTCCCACAGAGGCTCAAACGGTGGTCGGCAAATTATCTAAGTGGTCGACATTCGTCGGTAATGTTCAGAGACAAAACGAGTAAGCAGCGAAAAATAAAACAGGGGGTTCCTCAGGGTGGTGTCCTTTCCCCGCTACTGTTTAACTTTTATATTTCAAAGCTCCCTCAACCACCAGAGGGAGTCTCGATTGTCTCCTATGCCGACGATTGCTCGATTATGGCGACTGGGAATGGAATTGATGACCTGTGTTCGAAAGTAAACGGCTATCTCTCCGAACTTTCTCGCTTCTTCACTGCAAAGTGTCTAGCCCTCTCCCCTACGAAATCCTCCGCGACCCTGTTCACAACCTGGACGAAGGAGGTCAGGCTACCGCTGGGGATTCACGTCGATGACACACCAATTCCGACGGTGAATAACCCCAAAATACTCGGAGTAACATTCGACAGCCTGCTCTCCTTCTCTGCGCACTCAACCGCTATTGTCAATAAAGTACAGAGCCGCAACAAGGTCCTCAAGTCGCTAGCCGGCAGTACTTGGGGCAAAGACAAAGAAACGTTGCTGGCAACATACAAGGCAATAGGCCGGCCGGTCTTGAACTACGCAGCGCCAGTGTGGTCGCCTGGGACTAGTAGGACGCAGTGGACGAAGCTACAGACCGCACAAAACACCGCACTGAGGACAGCGACGGGATGCCTCTTGATGACGCCTGAACACCACCTGCACGGCGAGGCGCAAATGCTCCCGGTAAAGGAGCACAATATAATGCTCTGCAAGCAGTTCCTGATCGGGAGCCACAGAAGTGGCCACCCGAGCAGACAGCTGCTTGCAGAGGAGCCCTCGCCTAGGCACGTCAGGAGGCATCTATATGAACTAACGGACGAAGTCCAGAGGTTCATTAAGCAACCTCTGGACCCGACAGCCTACAGACAGGCCTTGAACGGCATTCACAGGGACTCAGTCTCGAGTTATGTAGACTCTAGACCTGTGAATGCCGTTCTAGGCACACCACCCCCGGACATTGACGAGACGGAGCTTCGTCTGCCTCGGGAGACGCGCACTACACTTGCACAACTTCGCTCCGGCTACTGCAGCAGGTTAAACTCCTACTTGAGTAGGCTGAATGAGGATGTGCCTAACTAATGTCCGGCATGCGGAGAGACCCCACATGACTCGAAACATCTCTTCGCATGCCCGGCAAACCCGACATCCCTAACGACCTTGTCCTTATGGGCAAACCCCGCAGGAGCTGCACGCTTCCTAGAGTTGCCGTTAGTGGAACTTGACGACAACGACTGAGACACCAACCGATCTGGGCGGGGTTGTTGTAGCCGCTACAACAACAACAACAAGGTAGTGCCGACTTCGCAGTATGAGGGAGAAAGGCTTGAAGAGAAGAAGGGACCGTGCCCAGATGGTATACCTAATAAAGCTCTAAAGATGGCATTAAATCACTTGACATCTCAGTTCTCAAAGCTATTTAACACATCTTCGCTGAGGATGGGGCGGCATCGCAGACAACCATTTCGACTTCAGGAATGGATGGATCGACAGTAGCGCCGATTCAACGGCGGTCAAACTGGCACGTGAAGCTATAAGCGTTAAAAGGTGGCTGGGGGAGCAAAGGAGTACTGCTTAAACTTAACGCTTGACTCAAGGAATGCCCTTAATCTTGCCAAATAAGCTAAAATATTTAGATAGACAATTTGAAAATGGCATATATCGGACTATTTACGTACACTTATACGAAATTATTTCCACTGGCGAACATTGCTGTATGAAACAGAAGAAGGATGTAGAAGGGCCGAAATCACTGCTTGGACCATTTCTGTGGAATATTATGTATGATGAGGTCCTTAAAGTGCAGCTACCGGCTGTGCAGCGTAATAGTCTTTGCATATGGCATTGCTGGGGTGGTAAGGCGATGGCGTTAGTCACATTAGTAATGACCTGACTAGGCAGCGTTGGACCTTACGGATCATAGAACGGAAACAGTACTGATATCGAGCAGATAAAGCTAGAAAACTTGGAATTGAGCATAGATAGTCATATTGTCTCGACCAAAGCCTCAATAAAGTAGCACGACGTGATGTTTCGACAAAATACAGCAGTATCAAGGATAAGCATGTGAAGTGATGTCATGTTATGTGTATTATCACGTGATGGCGATTATTATATTGATAACAATATCGATAACTATCGCTAAATATATCGATAAATATACCGATTATAATACAATCTATAAACATAACGATTGCAAAGTCGATAAATATATCGATAACGATATCGATTATTACATCGATAGCAATATCGATAAAAATATCGATAGCAATGTCGATTAATATATAAAAAATATCGATTAATATATTGATTTCAATATCGTTAAGAGTATCGCTAAATTTCTTGATATATATAACAATAAAAATATCGATTATCGCAATTCTAAAGCGTTGGAAAATATTATATTCGGATCTTAATTGCACTCTTGATGTCTTTGATCAGATTTCCATCTTTGTCGTTGGATGAATTTATAGGGTCACATAGTGTTTAAATTTTGTGTACAAATATATATTTACATATATGCAGTTCCGAATATGATGCATATCGGACTATATATACATATATGTATGCCGCTTCTACATGCATATTGACTCCAGCGCCATCTACTTAATTTTTTTTTATTTACAAAGACATTATTTAATACGACTTCGAATATAGTTCTTGTTTCAAGAAAGCAGTATTAAATATAGTGCAAAATTGTTATAGAAAACATTTTAATCTTTAAGCTTCTACCTGTACGGTCTTTAATGAGATTACTAAAAAATTGTTCTTAGAGGGTTCTTTAGAAACATGTTCCTTGTATACTTGGTTTGGTTACTGCACTACTTGACCTTAAAAAAAGTTGCGCCTCTATAAAATAATAATTGGTTCCTTTTCCAGGCCACAGTTGGCACAAAACAACGCTTCTACATAATCGCCCAATCACCACAGGAAGAGTTGACCACACGCATTTTCTGGCAATGTGTTTGGGAAGCAGACGTCTACTTGATTGTGCAGCTGTCGGAAGGCTTAAACTATATGCCACCAAATAGCAATCAGCGGCTCGAGTTTGGACAAGTACGTGAGGCTATTATTTGCTGTATTTTCTCTATTTACTTAAGCTAAACATTTCTTTGTTTCCCTACACGTACATNAAATAGCAATCAGCGGCTCGAGTTTGGACAAGTACGTGAGGCTATTATTTACTGTATTTTCTCTATTTACTTAAGCTAAAACTTTTCTTTGTTTCCCTACACGTACAATTTTTTAGTTCCAAGTGTATCAGGAATTCTCACAAACCACAGATCGTTGCATCACCAGCAAACTACGTCTATTTCACATACAATCGCGTCGTTATCGTTCCGTTTGGCATTTGAACTACACCAATTGGGGCGAACAGAATTGTCCGCGTGAGGTCAATCACTTTTTAGACTTTCTCGAGGAATTGAATTCAGTGCGTATGGCTTCGATTAACGAAGTACCGCCTGGCCATAATACCAATCCGCCAGTGCTTATACATTGTTTGGAAGGTGGTGGACGTTCGGGCGTCACGTTGACCGCTGATTTGCTACTCTATACGCTGGATCATAATGAGGTGAGGCGTGCGTTGGTGTATTTATTCAAATTTTAGCATTAAATTCAATATACATTTCCTTTTCCTTCCTCTCTCTCGTCGCAGGATTTGGATATACCACGCGTTATTGGTCAATTACGTCATCAACGTGATAGCATCATACCGTCCTTAGCGCAGTATAAATTCATATATAGTTTACTTATAACATATCTTAAGCGTACGCGTTTGATTTGAGCGCCAATTGCAATTCGCTTTGACTTCAAATCACTTCCCCCACTCTTGTGGCCATTATTACGAAATTTACGCAATTCTAAATTGCAATAGTTTTAAATTAAGAGCAAAAAAAAACCGAAAAAAATAAAGCGTGTCGCAATTTACAACTAAGCATGTTAAAGTTAAGAAACGATATTTATATTTTTACAAAACAAATGTAAGCAAAAAAAGAGAAAAAGAAAAACATAATTGAAACACAATGCAGTGAACGAACAACTAATAATATGCGATAAACTAGCAACTAAGTAGCATTGTATACAACCTATTTTATTACATACATACATACTAACATACATATTACATATATGGTGCTTCCATCTAATTAAAACAAGTGACGATGCCACTCGTTAAACTAAAATACATAACGTCCACACAAAGTTTGGTTAAAAATGGTCTGTTTTCACTGCAACAGTCGAGTTTTGCATTAAGGCATTTGAAAACTGCCATTAAAGGTTGAAAATTTAATAATCGGTTGTATTGAACTGATCTGTATTGTTATACATATTGTATTTTTTGAAGATTTGAAGACAAGTGTTAGGTATTTCATGCAACTTCCATATCGTTATGCATCAAAGTTTCAACTTATAAATTGCACACATACATATCTTGTTACTCTACACTTCATATCATTGAAAAACTTCAATTAGGCATTATTTTTAAATTGTTTATGAGCTTTTGAGAAGCTTACTGAACAACATATGTAAATCGCATGTATCATGTTTTTTTTTCTTGTTACACTTTAAGGTTTTGAGCCTGCTATGTCTGATGTATTCTATGCATGTATGTATGTAGGTAGTGTTTAATATAAGTGCAAAAGTAAGTGCCTCCAGCTGCATTGGCAGCTCATTTAAGTAGACAACAAATTTATTATAATATGTATGCTAACTATAAAAAATATTTTTAATTTTTTTTTTTTTTTTTAATTTTGGCAGCATGGAGGATGGTATTGTGACAGAAAAAATAATGACTTATTAGAACGAACGAAGCGTAGTATATCATTGTAGTCAGTCAGTTTTATTTGCACAAAAGCAATATTTTATTGCTTTTGTTGTAATTCATATATTATAAATTTATCATAAGAAAAATTAACAATAAATGATATCATTCATTAACAATGGAACGCTGTGTTTGAGTCTCCCACACTGTATAACGAAAAAATGCAATTTGATTTCATGCTTCCTTGACCGCAGTTTCCCGGGCTGATCTGGTGTTGGTCGGACAGTCCACCTTGCTTAGGAAAAGTCGTTGCTGTTGTTGTTTTAAGAGTGTTCTCTCAAACTGATTTGTGTTAGTAGTCATCTTTTCCATGCAACTCTTCCTCTCTGTATCTCGAGCGCTTCTGGTCTGAGGTGGACATATGTACGTATACATATGTATATATTCGTAAGATCTACGAAAATGCGATCACTGAATACGAATTCCTATAAACGCATGCATTCAATGTACATACGTACATACATATATGCTACGTTCGTAGCTATTCGAATTCAGTGATAGTATTGTCGTAGCTTTCACGAAAAATTGGACTAGGATGGATTCAGTGATAGCCCTGACAGATGGGCGGCGTTATGTAGGTCATGATGGACAGGCGTCTGTAAGATCAAGATCTAGCTTGCTCTGCTGGGCAAGCTGACTGAATTGGCTGGCTAATTTATCCCCTCATGCGGCGTCCAATCGTATCGGTATATATATGTATGTCTCGATTCACCGAAGCTAAGCGATTTCCTCTTCCAGATGATTTAGGCATGTAGGGGCTTGCCAGTGGGTATTTTGAGGTTCTTCCCGCTGCGGAGTTTATTGTTTAACGATGTAGCGTGTGCCTACAATGAGAGGAGGCTATATACATTATCTCCGTCTTCAGACGCGCAAAGTCTCAAGGCCGAGGAAGGGACTGTAAGATGACTTTGGGATCCCCTTATCACATTCAACTAGTTGAAAGCAATTGAAATTGGCCAAAGTACGTCGGACCTCCATCTCAACAGCGGCGGAGTATTTTCTTATCAGGATCATTTGGGTTTCGTGCCACAGCGACGTGCGAAACTGCATGGTTGACAACGTGGAAAGAAAAGGTATCCTTGAAACGTTTTCATCGGATAGCGAGCAGCCTTGGACACATCTGTCTACATGCAGCGATCTCTGGGTGAAAACTAGGCCTAGAGAGGATTGCGGTGGTTAAAGGAGCTCCTTACGCTGGAAAAGCCTCCTGTAGCAACTGCCAGGAGAATGATAAGGTGGTATTACCTCAACGCATTATATTTATGTATTAGACTGCCTAGCCTACGCGTGGCTAAGGTTGAAACATTTTGGCTGGCACTTCCTGACTTACCTTGCTGAGCTCCCGGGCATTGAAATTAGCCGCATTGGTAATTTCGCAATGGGCTCGTGGCGTTTCGTCGGCTATGTAATTGTATCCGTGTACACAAAGAACAATCTCCTCAATGTCCAAGTGCATCCCTTATCTGGGACAACTACAATAACCTAACCTAACACCCCTCTCTCTTCAGTCCGCTTCCGTTTCATAAGCCTATTGTCATATCAGCCCGGTGTTAACAATTAAAAGACTTATTGATCTAGCTGGTATTAAAGTGCCATTCCCAGCCTAAGAGGCCACCAAATAGGCTAGCTCTCGTTACACAGATGGGTCGAAGATTACCTGCCGCTTGGTGGTGGGCGTGTACTTCGGGTAACTCGGCGTCACCTTATCTCCACGTCTGGAAAATGATTTAAGTGTCTTCCAGGCGCAAGGTCAATACAAACATATGGCCGGGAACCAGAATAAAACAACCGTATTATCTGACATGCAGGCGATGTTAATACCTAGAATATCTCTTGCCTGGGCATCCGGTCATAGGAACATCTAAGGTAAGAAGTAAGCTGATAAATCAGCGGTAACATTGCGATGCCGCTTTAGAATAATTCAGAGAGAAAATAATTTGAATTTTCTTAAATAGTTTAGGTGCTCATATAAAAAGAGAGACCTACGTATAACTTGATTATAACTCCAACCGCCGCCAGCCGGAGTCAACTTGGTGAGATATGCTGATGATTTTATGATCGTGGCAACCGACCAAAACATCCAGAGCCTCTGCGATAAAATTACTGACCATTCCTCCGATTTTCGAAATCTCAGCTACAAAAATCCACCGTCACACTCTTCACCACTTAGGTCAAGGAGATTAGGCTTAAAAGGCACCTTCACCACCTATAATAAATTATGAGACAGGAACAAAATCGTCAAGTCCATGCTCACAAAGTATAAAGCCAGATCAGCCAGTCGTCGATGGCAAGCTACGCAGCAAGAACGAGCGAAACGCAGTGAAGAAATTTACGAACCTGCCAGAACGCAACTCTACATGCAGCTAAAGGCTCATGTCATCCGAGCATCATCTTCACGAAGAAAGACAATGTTGGCGGTAAAAGAGCACAACACTCCTCGCGGGAGATCACCGTAAAAAACTACCCCAACTTCGAAATGATACGCTCCCATCGACACGTGGGACGGCATTTGTATGACTGAAGAACAGACAACGTGGAGCATCCGTTCGACAAAGAGTGATATACAACGGAACTCGAAAACCTACAAAAAGATGTCAGGACTTATCTTAGCGCACGTAATGGCATTTTTCGAGCAGGTCGATCGATGCTCTTTGATATTGGCGACGCCGAACTGCTGAGGGAAACCAGATGCACCCTAGCATAACTCCCTTACGGTCGGTGGCAAAGGCACGAATCGTGACAATCGTGAACGAGCAACTCGTTACGTAAAAATGCATATTTCGGATTACTGCTCGTCTCGTAATTCGGTATAATGGCTGGTATCAAGAATGGTAGAATACATTTTCTGCATGGTGGGCTGGTGTAGTAACTAATCGTACTCATTCGTTTGAACGACCTTCCGACCACAACGAAACGACTAACGTAATTTGTGTACATACAATTGCCGATTCGTTCACGTCTGTCACGATTCGAGCGTAGTCACCTGCCCAAGAGGCGGGCAAGGTGCACATAACACTCAACACGTTTTCGCATGCATCTCCAACCGCCGGACGACCATGGCGCAACAACAGCAGCGTGACTATAACATAAAAATGGTGCTCATATCAGACAATTCGCCCGTCCTTTATCTGATTTTAGATTACCTCCGAATAAATAAAAATACAATCTTTACATTTATCATATTTGTATATTGATTGTTTTTATCGATTTATTCAATATTATAATTAAATAGCGAGAGCAATTATAAGAGATTAACTTACTTAAGGCTACTACAAACGAAATATTAGAAATAGAGAGAGAGCGCGCGCGATTTGCAAAATATTACATACATACATTTATGTCTTTTTCTTTCTTTTACTAAAACTATTAAATAGATTTTGAAAATAAAATAAAATCAATTGAATTATTCTAAAAGAATTTAACTTGAAAATGACTATAATGCATAAACCTTGATTTAATTAAAAGAAAATATTTTATCTGTGCATATGTATACATTATTATAAGTAGGTTAAAAACAAATTAATAACCTTAGTGCACAAGTTCGAATTCGAACCTTTAAAATATATATACATATGTATATAAGCAATTAATGCATACAAAAGTTAAACAATTATTATTTTGTATGAAGTAGCTGAAGGCAAAATATGCGTGTAAAGCAAATGCTGCTAATGCTAATAAATTACATACATACATAAATAGGTATGTACGAACGTTCATTCCATAAATATACATACGAGTTCGCATGTGTAGGACAACACAATATGTATCTTAAATTCAATTTTACATATCCTGTTTTGTTTTTATTTGTTTTGGTTTTGCTTTTTAAAGCTTCATAAATATGTAAAATATAGATTCATGCTAATATCTGAGTCATGATTTAGGGGTTTTCAACATTATCATATAGATTATCTATAATAGATATGGTATTTATTTAATTTAATTTTTTTTTTATTTACTTTTACGCTCTGATTTCTTCTTTAATGTGCGACATTTAACTAACCGAACAATAAATTCATTATATTTAAATATTTACAAATATGAATTTGTTCGATTGAAAATGTGAATAAACTTTTAGAACGCTTTTAAGCACTTACATACATACATATAAATTGAACGACAAAATTAATTTTGATTTCTTTTTTTTTAAAGCTTACATTTTAACATGATTTTTTTTTAAATAATTTATGCGCATAAAATGAATGTAAAGTTAGGGGAAAAAGTGTGGCCCGTGGACGAAACCATGCTTTTTATATGCACATTAGAGTGCATCACTCTCCATACAAAAAAAAAAAAAACGGTATTATTTTCCCATTGGAATTATACAATTTATAAAATTTTAGATTCTTGCATTAATATTTGAGAAAAACACTAAAATTTATGTGAGCGGGACCGATTCGAAAATATCTGCACCCAAAAAGACAAAACTCTTATCTTAGAAGCTCTATGCTCTTTTTCGTACGACTAATTGAAAGATCTGTTACCGAGGAGGTCTTAGCGTTATTTGGTTGTATTTTAGCGGTAAGTTTTTTAAAAAATTAACTAATTAAAAAGTATAAAAATTTTTCTTTCAAAAGCAATAAAAACTAAAAATAAAACCAAATTACATTAAAAAGAAAAGATAAGTAAACTAAAAAATGCATCAAATAAATAAATTTAACAAGGAACAAATAACTAAAATACGTTTCTGTAAACTAAATGAAACTCATATTTTACAAATATTTTTCTTTTTAAAACAATAAAATCTTTAAATAAAAAAAAAATAAAAAATGAATGAATGAAATAAGTAAAAAAATTATTTTTTTTTATTTTGGAAGCAATAAAATCTAAAAATTATAGATTTTAATAAAAAAAGGAAAATTAAAATAATAAAAACTGCATAAAAGAAGTTAATAAAATTTTTATGAAATTAAAGACATATCTTTTTATATATAATTTTACTTAAAACAATAAAATCTAAAAATTTAAAGCCAAATCACCTAAAAGAGAAAAAATTAAAAGAACAAAAATTAAATGTAATATGTAAAAACATATTAAAAGAAAATTAAGTTAATAAGTTAATTAATTGAGAAAGAAAAAAATACTAAAATAAGTTTCCAAAAATTAAATTAAAGAAATATATAT